CTTGCTATACTCTCAGTAGAATTCTCATTATTATTATTATAAGATTATTATTATCTCTTGTTATGGAGATAAACAGTGGTATTAATCCAACGCCCCGCCGAGGCTGAGAGAATTGTCGTCATCCGGTCCGCCCGCCCAGAGAAGTGAACCCGCCCGCTTGCGTCTTCGCGACTTTCTTTCTCTCTCTGTCCGTGTCTTTATCGCAGGTACTCCAGATACTAATAAATATATTAACTCTCCCCCATCGTCTCCGCTGTTCCCGGACTGTCCCCTGCTCTGCCCTGCCAGTTCTTCTCCACCTCCCTCTTCTCCATCCTCTCTCCTACTACTCTCCTCTCCTCCCCTCCCTCTTTTTCTCTCATATCTCTTATCACACTGCTTATCATGCCACTCACCATCCTCTCTCAAACACAACTCCGCTCCCTCCTCCTGTCGCTCTCTCGCGACCAGATCATTGAGCTCCAGCAGAACCTCTCCAATGCTCTGCGGGACTACTCCACTGGTAGCCAAGAAAAGGGCTGTGCGGCTGCCTACCAACCCACGCGCACGGCCATCACCCGTCAGAATGGCTGCACCACCTTGTTCATGCCCGCTAGCACGGGCAACACCCTGGGCATGAAGATGATCTCCTTACAAGATAACAGTCAGGCCGGCTGCTCCGTCGACCCAGCCTTAGACTTGTCCTCCGCAGCCTCCCGGACCACCACCACCACCTCCTCCAGCCGAGTCAACCAGCGCAAGTCCATGTCCTCCATCTCCTCCGAAGGCAGCGAGCAATCCATGTCCTCCCAAGAAGACGACGACCACACCTCCTCCTCTCCCTCCTCCAGCAGCAAATCGCTCACCCCCGGCTGCGTGAACCAGCAACCCATCGATACCGGAATGTCCAACACCATGGGTGCCTGGCCCGCCGCCGGCTCCCGTGATACCTCCCCGCAAGGATCAGTGACATTGATTGACGAGACGAGCCTACCCTTTGGATTGATCAACGCTCATGAACTTACCCCCTTTCGCACCGCCTTGACCGCCACCATGACCCTCAACAAACGCAAGCGCGTACGAACCGTGGTGGTGTTCGGGGCGGGCAAGCAGGCATACTGGCACATTCGGCTGGCGCTGATCCTGCGCGGAGAGGGCATCAAACGGGTGTATATTATCAACCGATCCTTTGACCGCGCGGCCCAGCTGCTGCGGGATATCTACAGCCCCGAGAACGCCAGCTGGCGCGGCGATGTGAAATTCTCCGCCGTCAGCACGGACTTTGTCGAGTACGACCGCATCCTGCACGATGCGCTGCTCAAGGCAGATGCGATCTTCTGCTGCACGCCCTCGACGGAACCGCTCTTCCCTGCACAGATCCTCACATCGCGCGACGGACGCCGAAAGGGCCGTCTGATCAGCGCGATTGGATCATATCGGCCACACATGACCGAGCTGCCACCTGAGTTGCTGCGCGACGAGGTGACGGTGCACAGCTCGCATCGGCATTTCCACAAGCATGTGCGACGGAGTGGCGTAGTGGTGGTGGACAGTTTGGATGCGGCGCTGAAGGAAGCCGGCGAGATTGTGCAGGCGGGCATCCGGCCGCATCAGGTGGTGGAATTGGGCGAGCTGCTGATTGTGCGGGATGCGTCGCGCGGGGAGGGCGACAACAGCGAAGATGGCAAGAGTCTTCGGGATTGGGTGGAGCGCGGGAATGTGATCTTCAAGAGCGTGGGGATGGGCTTGATGGATCTGGTGACGGGCGGCGATCTGGTGCGGTTGGCGCGGGAGAAGGGAGTGGGCACGACGCTGGAGGAATTCTGATTGCTTTCTTTCTTTTCTTTCTTTCTTTTCATGTAGTAATTACTGGAGAACTATCACGATGCGGGCACTGGGAAGGAGGTAATTGCTGGACTATGATATCCATATTCAATTCATGCTACTTTTATCTTTCTATCTGTCTCCCTTTTCTTGAACAAATGTGAGACTATCAAGTAATTTCGAAAGTAAATCAAAGTAAATAGGGTAAGGCATGCACTCCCAGCCAATCAACTGCCCCAATTACAATCTTTTTGCTGACCGCCCGGAACATGACATCAACCATCGTCTCTCTTTTCTTTTCTTTAGACTTCATTTCTTGTTCTGCTTTTGCTTCTGCTGCCTCAGCTCACTGCAACTTCTGCATCTCTCGTGCTGCCGCGGGGATCCATCGGCACCCCAGGAACATGTGGCCACCCAGTCGGACAGCACCCGAACTGGGCTGATCTCTTTCTGCAGCGCCGGTGAAAGCCAAAAGCGAGTTTCCTGCAGGCGCCGCGCGATCGTCAAAAACCCAGTGAGGGGCAACTGCGCATCATCCCACACAAGCTCATTCTTTGCGCGCCCCCCCCCACTCTGTCTAGATACTACGATTTACTATTGACTATTTACTCTTACTTCCCTCCCTCCTCTTGCTTTCCCTTCCTTCTTCTTCTTCTTTTCCCCCTTCCCCTGCTTAAAGTCAAGTCAAATCAGCAACTATGCGCCATCACGTGTGCCATCTACCCAACGGGCTGAGCTTCAGTGTCTCCCCCGTCTTCGGGGCTTCACCTTCAAATCCAACGATGTCAACTCCAACCAGTCCATCGTGCCTCCTGGTTGGAGCATCGTGCTCGCCACAAACCGTCCAGACCCCGAAACCACGGACACCAACGATGAAGAGCGTGGTCGAACTCGCGGGACTGGCGATGATGAGCAGCGTGCCCGCCTTACGCGCTTCACTACCCCCACCTTGCGCGATGACTCCCTCTACATCTCCTACATTGTCGACCCACCCAGCAGTGACTACAAGCCGGTCAGCTCCCCCACTCGCCAGATCGCCATGATGCTCTGGGTCACGCTGTGGTGGTACTTCCACGAACCCCAGCCCGACCGTCGTCTGCAGACGGACGCCTCCGCCAATACCCCGCCTTCTGGCCAGCCCAAAGGTGACTGGCGCATAAATATCAAGCGCGAAGGCTTCTTCAAGGGTCGCACGCTGCTCCAGAAGCTCGAGCGCATGGGCCTCATCGCCTCCGAGGACTCGTCCGTCGGCGCAGAGCCCTATGACCCGCAATGCTGGGCCAACATGTTCATCAGCCGTCGCAGCTTCTGGCAGATCGACCCCCGGCTGTTCGTCTTCACCATGAGCCCGCAGACCATCCCCCCATCAGTGTCCGGCTCTCCCTTTGTCCAGCGCGTGGCCTCGCCCTCGCGCGAGAGCTTCAATCTCGCTCACGCAGCCGGCCAAGAGGTCGCACACTATGTCCCCAACGAGGGCCCCTTTGCCTCCACCAGCCATCTGCCCACATACTTCCCCCCTCCCCCCACCCAATACACCTTCACCAACGGCATCCGACACCCCATCCGCCCCAAACCGCCGCACCAAGGCGACGTCTTCTACGTCCGTTACATCCCCAGCGTGCAACAATACCTCTCCTTCCGCATCCCCTATATCCCCCCATCTCACCAAAAACGCGCCCCAGGATCCAACAACCCCACCCCCAGCCACTCCGCTAGCCACTCCACTAGCAGTCTCGACCAGCCCCTAACCGCAGGGCCGTCAGACCTCGACCTACTGCACAAATGGATGAACGACCCCCGCGTCAACGCCTCCTGGGGTGAAGCCGGGCCCATCGAGCACCAGGAGAAATTCCTGCGCACGAACCTTAACAGCAGACACAGTTTCCCCGTCATCGGCTGCTGGGACGGCAAGCCATTCGGCTACTTCGAGCTGTACTGGGTGAAGGAAGACCGACTGGGACCGTTAATCGGCGGAGCCGACAACTACGATCGCGGCATTCACCTGTTAATCGGCGAGCAGGAGTACCGTGGCCCACACCGCGTGCAGATCTGGTTGAGTGCACTGGTGCATTATTGCTTCTTGGCGGATTCGAGAACTCAGACGGTCATGTTGGAGCCGAGGGTGGATAATTTTAAGTATGCCCCCACTATCACTACCATCTCGCAATCAATAAAGCATACAGGTACAGATACTAATGATAGATGAATAGGTTGATTACGTACCTTCAAGAAGCAGGCTTCTATAAAGAAGGCGAGGTTACTTTCCCGCATAAGCAATCGGCTTTGATGAAGATTAAGCGGGATACGTGGGAGTGTCCTGCTATTTAGCTTTCCTGTTCTCTAGAAGGCGTGCTGGTTGATGGTGGTGATGCCGATAGAGGTAAGATATTTCAGAAGCATTAAGGATTAGTTGCATTGGCGGACTAATGCAGATGGCAGGAATTGTGTTGCATACGAAGAGAGAGAGAGAGAGAGGAAAAGCATTAAAGAGTGAGATTACTATAGCGAAAACGAGGTGGGGTGCGGCGCAGGGAACTGTATATAGGACTATTTTACTACCTCTTTTTAGAATCTCTTCTTTTCTTTCCAACGGTGTTTGGTATCTGCATTTAATTAGGGTTATGGTTGTGGTTGCGGTGCGGATCGTCGACCTCTACTCATCTTACTACTACTGTGGTGGACTCCAGAAGTCAAATGACCTTGTCTTTCTGTACTGTAGAAGCCTATAAAAAATTGGAAGATTATTTTTTTTTTCTAGAGTAGTAAATCATAATAAATAAACCAGAACAAATCCAATTTACTCACTTACTGAACCTACCAAGTAACTTATAATACTGTCCTGAAAAAGTTCATTTCGATCTATGGCCCGCAACCTCCGCAGCGTAAACAATATGCTGTCGCAGGTGTCGAAAAACTTAAGCCTAAATGAATCGACACTTGCTAGGTTACTGTCAATTAGTCAAGTTGACTGAGAGTCGGATGAAAAATCAGTTAGTTGTTCATAAGTACTGTATTGTCAACAGGATGCGATGTGTGTCCGATCCCAAGCCTGCCGTTGATTTGGCAGCCACACCTTGAGATCATAGATCGACTGCGTAGGTAGTAGTATTCTATCCAAAGTCATCAGACGGCCCCCCATGGACTTCTGCTACTTTTCTCCGAACCCTCGACATCTCTTTTCGGCCTCCAATGGCTTCTGTCACGGGAGCAACATAGAAACTTTGATGGAGTAGTTACATGATTAAAATGAATCAAATTATTCTACTCTACTCCGTGCTAGTATTGAAATGACGTTAAAGACATGACCATTCAAAATAATTCGAATAAATACTCGTATATTCATAAAACCAAGCATAACCACATATCACATAACCCCAGAAGCAGTATAATCCCCGGAAATATCATCACCATACACTCTCGCCTCACATCAACCCATCCAAGCACACTACCTAGTGAAATAAAGCAGAGTGTCAGACAGGAATTTGAAATTCGACGAGTTAGAGAAAAGCTAATACCCCCACATATCCCCATCATCCCTAACCATATCATCCTCATTTAACACCTTCAACCCACTCTCCTTCTCCGCGCGCCGTCTCTGCCTCTTCGTAATCATCGAGCTCGGCGTCAATGGCGTCACGGGCGTGAACGGCATGTACGGACTGTACGGCGTGGGCACGCCCGTCCTTGGCCCATTCATGTGCTTCAAAGGCCTCTCCAGAACCGTGAGCTTCGTGGCCGGCGCGCTCTGTAGCGGGTAAGCGTCCCGGAAGGGCAGTGACGATGATGGACTGCGTCCGTGCTGGTGGGCTGTGTTGCTGCCCGTAGGAGTGGTTAGGGTTAGGGGTGGGGGAACGGGCCCGCGGGGAGATCTTTCTTTGGCGCGGGGTGGTTCAAGACGCGGGGTTGGGAGGGGAGGAGGAGGTTGGGTGTTGATT